GACATGAAGAATCAAAGTGTAGAGGCTCAGAACAGGGCTGTCGTAGCGCCGCAGGATTCCACGGACAGATTGATAGAAAGCAATACCATGTGGAGTGCACAGTCAATTCAAGGCAATTTTGTACGCGGCAGTACTGACGGCAATTTCAGCAGGAGCGATCAGAGTCTGGATAAGAATGGTTTGAATGATCAGCCCCAAAGAACTCGGGACTTGGGCAATCACTGTTCTGGAAATGATGGTATGAGCAGTCCAAACTGGCTTGGTCGACCTCCTGAATGTCGAACTGCAGTCGCCATTGTCCGAAAACTTTTAGGCAAGGCGGATTTTGTCTGCAAAATTCAAGACAGCAGCAGTGGAACAAGTGAAGAACGAATTTGCTCATCGCAAAGTTTAGATGCACGTCGTAAGTTAGGCCAGGACTCTGTGGGCTCATATGCCAATGCACCTGGAAACCAAAGAAGAATGACTGATAATTTTAGAAACCCGGACGCAAATCAAGTTGACGACAAAGACGCATCAAGCCTGGATTTGACAGATAAGGAGCGAGCGATTGAGGCCATGCCAATTCAGGCCAGGATGATCTACTTTCAGAACGGATCACTCCGCCCTGGCAATGCGGCTGGTAGCATAGCTGGGGTTAACAAAGTGACGGGCGGATGGAAGGGGACGGGCAACGCCGCCGGAGGGGCCGACATGAGGGTGTCGCCTCCAGAGAGCGGCAGCGCGATACATCAGGGCATGGGAAGCTACAACAGTGTGCGCAACAGTGAAGCACTCACGATAGGGATCAGCCAGTCCATGGAGACCCGACCCGACCAGAAAATCTTACCTCTAGAGAGTTCTAGCCCGGTAACCCAGGGCATGAGAAGGCCCGATGATGTTAGTGAGAGCGCGGCATCTGGCAAAGGGATCAGCCACATCATGGAGCTCAATGCCGACATTTTGCCTGTCGAGAGCTCTCGCACGACAACTCAGGGCATGAGGAGGTCCGACGATGGTGGTGAGAGCGCGGCATCTGGCAAAGGGATCAGCCACATCATGGAGCTCAGTGCCGACGTCTTGCCTGTTGAGAGCTCTCGCACGACAACTCAGGATATGCAAATATTCGGTGATGGAAGCAAGAACGAGAGACTCGTTATGGATACCAGCCAGGATATGGGGGGAAACTCATACGGGAAAATGCTGCCTCTGGAAAGCTCTAGCAGGGCAAACCAGATTCCAGAAGAGCATGACAGCGTGAGCAAACACCGGACACATGACATGGAGGCCAGCCAATCTGTCGAGGGAATCCCCGACAGACAAATTTTGCCTTTGGAAGGCTCCAGCGGGGCAAATCGGGATCCGAGGGGGCATGACAGCGCGATGAAGAGCGTAGCCATTTCCAAGGAGATCAGTCAGTCTTTAGATGAAAATCCCGACAGCATAACATCGTTCATCGAAACTTCCAGGAAAGCGGAGCAGGATATCGGAATCCACGAAAGGGTGAGCCGAAGCGTGACACGTAACGAGGTATCCAATCAGTCTGTGGAGGCTTCAGCCTCAGGTGGAACCTGGAGTGTACTCCGGCGCGAGCGGAGAAGTCGAGACACCGGGTGCGCAGGGCGGCTCCATGATAGAGGTCGGCCACCGAGGTCGGCCTCCGGCTGTCCCCCGCCAAACGGCATCTCTGGACGCCGGTATCCGTAGGACAGAGAGCGCGCAGAGTGTGGCGCGCTCTAAGTCGCTGCCGCTGACCCAGCGGCACGGCGCTGCGCGACCTGGTGCCAGAACACCGCGCTCCAGTCCGTCAGAGCCTCTGCGCAAGAGGAGTAGTCTGGGTGCGGCGGCGACCCCGTCCGCGCTCTGGGCCGGTCAGGTGTCGCCCGGCCGGCCGACCGCCGCCCAATCAGCGAGCGGCCAGCGCGCCACAAAGGCCGCCAATCTGGAGGAGGGAGCGGCGGGCGCGGCGCGGCCGGGCCCGGCTCCCTCGGGGCGCGGGCCGTCGGATCGATGGGCCGACCCGGTCCCGCCCCGGTCCCAGTTCGCCCTGCCCGACCCCGACCAGCAGGACGGCGATGACCGCTATGACTTCTAGCAGTGCCGAGCAGACCACGGCGGCGCGAGCCGGCAAACGGCCGGGGCCGGGCGCGAAAGCGCGCGAATGTGGCCTGGCCGGCGGCCCGGGCTCGTGCTGTGGCGTCCGCCGGTGAAGCGTGCCTGGGCCAAGGCCATAATGACAGGATCTGCCGACTACTGAACTGGTTAACTACTCCTAACGATCATTAGCACAGTGTTACGTTATAGTGCGGTGCGTGCATGGACGTTTGTAATGCTTGCCTCGTGTACATTGCCACCTAATATACGTGATTAGCTTCGTTTATTTATGGCACTCGCACATTGTGCGGCACCTTGGATTGCGGAGCCTGTCATTAGGTACACGAAGCACACAGTCCACTCGGACTAGATGTCGTATTTCTGACCAAGGCTGGTTGGCAGGCGAGACTCAAGAAGCTGACGCGCTTGTTCTTAATTCGGCCATGATCTTCGGAAATATACATGCATCAACACACTACGTAATGCGGTAGTAAGCCGTATGCAGGCAAGCGAACAGAACTGTAAAGCCGCAGTTTTATTCTGATGGTCAGTCCACCCGAACGATGCTGGATGTTTGTGTGCATCCACCTGAATGTTGCTTGCTAGTTCTGTCCTCGACATAAAATATTGTGCGTGGTGTGCTTAAGTAACTAATCGCTTTGCCCTGCTGGCGTTTAGGTATCATACTGGTGAGGGATCGAACTTAAGTGATCGATGTGTGTTGTCTCAAGGTAGGTCATGGTGTTCATACTTGTTCATACCTTTGCCCACCCCTTGTTCATTCCTCTGATCACGAGATATCCGACCAAACATCGCGAGAATTTTGGTTAGGGCTTCGTAGACAATGGTATCCGTGTTTAACTGCCCGCTCCCCGCCCCGTACCTCTGCTATGTTGCCTGTTCCTCGCTTCCGTCTCCCTACTCCTGCTATGTTGCCTGCTCCCCCGCCCTCAGCCCCCTACCCCCGTTATGTTGCCTGCTTCCCGCCCCCCACCCCCACAATGCTGTCTGCTCCCCCGCCCTGTCTCCTTGCCCCTGCTATGTTGCCCGCCACCCCACCCGGGCCCCTACCCCGTACACCTGCTATGTTGCCCGCCACCCCACCCGGACCCCTACCCCGCACACCTGCTATGTTGCCCGCTTCCCCCTTTCCCTGCTCTGTTACTTGCTCCTCTTCTCCCGCTGAGTTTACGGCGGAGCCGGTGGTTGCACCGGTCCGGGTGAGGCCGGGTGCTGCGCTGGCGCTGTTTGGACGCGCCTCTGCTTCGGCACGATAAGGTTGCTCGCTGCGCCGGCTTTAGCAGGATCGGCCACTGCGCCGGCTCTGGCGAAACCAGCAGCTGCAGTGGTCCTGATGGGCCTGCCGTAACACTATGACTCAGCTGGGACTGGCCGTAACACTATGACTCAGCTGGGACTGGCCGGAACATGATGACTCTCGCGAGACCGGGCTGTCTGCTGTTTATGGTGGAGCCGGCAGCTGCGCTGGCTCCGGTGAGCCTGACCACTGCGTATGAAATGCGTGTTGAATTTCGTTGTTAGACATTATCCGGTCTTACCTCGAATGTGACCTTGATCTGATGATGCCAAAAGGTGCGTTGACACAGCAGGAAAGCAAAGCACATAATGGAATGCTTGCAGAATAATATGTTATTCAGCTCCTTTCGTAGCGGGTCGAACGATTTTGAAAGCATTTGCAGGTAATGTTTTGTTTTGCTCATATCTTGTTCTTATGACGTATCTTTCTGCGAGCAGATGCCGTAACCGTCAGCTCTCTGCTTAACTCGTTATTTTTTTTCTGATAACACTTTTACGGGGTTTGCAATATGTTAAAGGGTAACTTATGTGCAACTTTGCTCGGCAGCCTATTACAACGTTTCATTTCATTTTGGTTTCACTGTTCGATAACTTAGGGATTTTCGTGCTTAAACTAGGCTTCTAATGCATTATTCTGGCATTCATAAATGACATATCTGGCCCAAGAAGACTCAATATGTGAGTTGCTGTGGATTATTTCAATTGTGTATATCTTCCGTTCCGATGACACGTTAGCGGCTAAAAAGGTATTAAAAGTTCGTTATCACCATTGACGGAATGTTCCGGTCGTATCAGGGCTATCGTTAGGTGGTGCAATTGACACCAAACATGATGTCAAGAAGCTCATCAATATCCTCCTCACGTTGTGAAAGTTTCTCACTCGCACGCTCTCTCTCTCTCTCTCTCTCTCTCTCTCTCTCTCTCTCTCTCTCTCTCTCTCTCTCTCTCTCTCTCTCTTTCTCTCTCGCTCTGTTGATGCAGGCAAGAAAGGCATTAAGGTCCTAGCTTTAAAGACAGGCCTCGAGTTGAAGCCAATCCTTGCTTGATAACGTGGTTCACCCTGTGCCTCCTGGAATATTGAACGATTTTTGTCAGGATAAAAGCTTTCAAATCACGTTGCCGAAAAACTAGGAGTTCAACGCATTTATTGCCTCTATCAAGAGGACGAGTTCTCAATTCACATACACTACGACCGTAACAACTGCTAGGGCCGGTGAGGTCCGGGTCGCAGGGACTTTTGGATAGGTTAGGTAATTTTGTTCTTTTATCACGCGAAATCGCGTAAAGCGGGTTAGATCCTAGTAACGTTTGGAAGCATGGCTACACCACTAAATACACCTACCGTTCTGCCAACGCACATGGTTAGTTGCTACCCTCTTTCAGTTGACAAGGTGCATGCAATCAGTAACAATGCGCGTGCTGGATTGTGGGAATCCTCATGGCTTTTTTAAGTCAGAGTGATAGATCAGCATATTGTGTGATAGATCATCTGTTTATTTATTGGTATATCACTTTCCGATCATCTCATCAATAGGAACGTAACTTCTGTGCCCCCGATCCATCCCTGCGTTGAAGGATTGTGGCGCTATACGACACGACACTGATTTCAGGGAACTTCACATGTCTGGAGGTGGTGTTCAAGTTCAAGCGACGCCTCGGCTACTACCTGTTCCACACGTACATCCCGACCTGCCTGATCGTCATCATGTCGGTAGGTCGATAGGTCGGTAGGTCGATAGGTGGACCTGGGGTCGGTAGGTCGTGTCGGTAGGAGCGGCGCGGGCCGACCTACCGCTCATGGGGTGGCTGAAGCGAGAAGGGGGTGGCCCAACGTGCTGCCGACGAGCTGCCACATTGCCTTGGCGCTTGACTGCCACCGCCGGGCAAGATCCCGACGGCATCCCGGGGAATGGTCAACATGCAAGTTAGCTCGCCCCACAGGCTCCGTATTTTCAGAATGCCCTGCCTTTTATTGAGTATTGTTTTTTTATTGCTCTATTTAATATTGCCGTCACGCTTTTCAGCTTTCTATGTTTGTTGTGGCCACGTTTCCGGCAAATGATTGGCGATTCAAAGTTTTCCCTCGGCCAGATATCTGTTTTTCTCTTTTTTCTTCGTTTTTGTTGGTCTTTGCTTGTAGTTCTGGCAGGAATATCCTTCTCTGGCGAGACAACTTGTTGTCGAGAAGGACGCATTCGACCAGCACTTCGCTTTTTTTAGGGGGGGGGAGAGGGGGTATTCAATACACGGTCACCCGTAGCCGTGGGAACACATCCATTGCATTATCGCTGCTCGGGTCGTGCTGGTGTCAGATCGCCTTCCTCAATTACTGCCGTCCGGTCCCTATCTGATCGACCCAGCGACTGTGTCGGGTCACACGGTCGACCCGGGCACGTGGCGCTGCCGCGTCGGGTGCGTCCATCCGTGCCCTGCGACAACTCACGCAAGCCGGTAATGCTGGCAGGCGCCGATGCCGGTCAGAACCCTGCCATCGGCTTGCCTGCTTAAAGATACCGCAGGCATGATGACATCGGAGTTGTGAGCGCGAACGGCGGCGAAATGAACATGTGCGTGCATATATATATATATATATATATATATATATATATATATATATATATATATATATATGTATATATATTTAAATATATACAGATTACTAAAAGTTTCAAAATTAATTGACATTATGTAAGAAAAATTGTACATGCCTGAGTGCATAGGTTACCGGGTAGTTGTCGCACACAACCTAACAAAAACTTGATCTTCGTTATGTTATTCTTACAACGAGAAGGTTTTGATCGTAGCATGTAGCATTCCCACTCCCCAACAAATCAAGATGACTAGGAATATTGCCACTTTTGCGCGATATGCTCCGCCGCGACGTTGCAGACCAAATTGCTGTCATCGTGTGAAGCCGCCGGATGATACCCGGTTCCTTCTGAGCCGGTGTTTACGCTAAAATTGCAGAAATGATAAAGGAGAGAAAAATTGTCCTGGAAAATGAAAGATAGAGAATAAATGCGGAGAGTCAAGCTGCATCACCCCCATATTTCACACAAAAACGTCTTCCCGGTTTTTGTGTGAAATATGGGGAGAGATCTTGCGTATTGCGAAGGTTATCATGTAATGCTTGCCTCGAACTTCACGTTTGGAGCACATGGTGCGCACATCAATTTTCGCAAGACGGGGCCATCCCAGAGAGTGTCAGTACGAGGAGCCGTCATGAAGCCCTTCTTTTAGGAGCGTAAGCCCTCTTAACCTCTTAGGTTCTCTTGACGTCTGTGCCATGCTTTGCTGCGACCGCCTTTATGTGCTTAACGATGCACTTGCGATAAAATTGAGCCCCTCTGAGCGCTCGTACATCATGTTTTTGCCGGCGCACGGAGCCGGGCGTATGCTAAGGGACCCAGGTGTTGGTAGAAGAAGGAAGCAGCGGGCCGTACATCTGGGAGCATCCGTTCTTGTCAAAAGCAAACGAGAGCTCTTAAAACGTCGGCCCATTTCTCTGCTGCACCTCTCCATGCATAAATCCACCAGCAAATTTTTTTAGCGTCGCGTGCGCCCAGAAGTTCAGTACCAGCAGGCACGCATGACCCCGTGGGCCCTGCCCTGCAGTGGCGTGCTGTCCCGACAGCAGACGAGTCGGCCGGAGGTCCCTCACATAATCAACACACGTGATGACACTGCCTTTTCTGCAGCGCGGATAATCAGCTCCGAACAGCTGCGGCGCCGACGCCATCAGCATGCGCATTACCCAGCGGTAACAGGGCTTCGACCGCCAATGGCGGACAATACCACATGCCGGTAATGCGAATATCCGCGGCCCGCCACAATGGGCTGCGTCGGCTGCGTGCCGGCGGCCGGCTTTGGCTCCGGCGAGTCAGCGGAGCAGAAGCGGCGGCGGTCTCCAGCGGGAGCAGAGGCGGAGTCAGGCCCGGCTGCAGAGCGGAGGCAGTGGCGTCACGGTCTCCAGCGGGAGCAGAGGCGGAGTCAGGTGCCCGGCTGGAGAGCACCGCTGGAAGAAGGCTGCTCGGCTTTGCCGGGAGGAGGTGTACTCAGGCCCTGCTAAGGCGTAATTACAGAATAATCGCGCGGTCCGAAAAAGTGGCAGCAACCAAGCCCAAGGTTTAAAGAAATGATCGTTGTGTGCATTTTGATTACACCTTGTGGCATACATAGGGGAGGCCGTGGGGCTGGCTTGGCACCGGATTCTGCGTAGCGGAAGTTTTGCGTTAGAATTGTTATGTCCTTGAACTCTAGGTCGGGTACTTGACGCTATGCCCTCACCGGAAGAGAGGGATGAAAGCCACTTCTACATTCTATTACTGAGCGCTATAAGATTTGGTACGTCAATTCTTTCACTCATTACCTATGTTTAAAAAAATGGTCCCACAGCTCGTCATGCCACGGCACTGTGACGCCATCCTGGAATTCTGCGAAACCATTTGAATTTGTAAAGTTCACTGGCAAACAAATTATAACTCAGGGCACCCGGTCGGTATAAAATAATTATGTTAATAACTCTGGATCAACCTCTTGTGTTTTAAAAGGCACAGTGCAAGTGTTCCGAGAAGGTCAGACGCTTTTCCGGTTAGTCGAGATAAAAATAACATCAAACAAATGAGTGCTCAAAACTCTGACTGTATGCAGGCATCTAGATCAAGTAATTGAAACTCTTCAATACCTGGCATTTGTCATCATGTATGGGTTCTAGATGCTTCAAATGCTGCTTTCCTTTGTTTTACGACCAAGTATTTGCTATTTGTACATGTACAAGTATCAAGTATTTGTGCATCCGAAACTAGTGAGTGTCAAATACGGTCGCGTGTCATGTACAGTGCTTGTAAGTAGTTGCGACCATTACATTAATTGAACCAGAGCGGTGAAATAGTCATGAATGGCATGGATCTAGAGTCATGTCTAGTAAAGAGTGAAATAATAATGACTCCAGTCACGACTGGAGTCATCAGATTGCAAATACGATGAGGCAGGTGCGGTCATTACTTAAGTTTAAGTGCACACCGGCCCCATTAGGAAAGTATTAAGTCTTCCAAGCATTTCTCAAGTGGCCGATTAATTACCAAGAGCTTTAGGCCGCAAAAATTTGATGATATGAGAAGTTATGTGCGTGCATTGTTTGGTATCATTTGCATCTTAACGTATGGTAATGGTAATTGGATGGTAAGGGAAACGAAATTAAAGGAACTTCACATTCATCGAGTTCAAGTACCAGGTGCTTGTTTATTGTTTGCTTGCGTATTTGGGGCATAAGCAGTCCACGTACAAGAGCTCAATTGCGGAAGCAGTCCAGTTGGTCAAGCACTAGACATTAGTCAAAGCTCATATTAACATGAAGCGTATGCAGCCTCTGACTTCCGTTTGTTCGGTGGTATATTTGCGTTTCTGTCTTGCTTAAAACATGCCTAGTTTCGCTTGCTACTCTTTGGAAATGCCTTCTTAAGCAAATACCAAGTCCTTGACCCATGGGATCATTTGAACGTCTTTCGTAGAAGTGCGTTTTTCAGTGACTGCTTTTGCCATCTTCAAAACCAAGTGGTGATCCCATAAACGGAACCTGCTCTTAGTGCTCATCAAACAATGTGCCATTACCTTTCCACCCCATATTTACGTCATATCCCGTCAATTCAACAGCTGCCGATTCAAATGAAACGGCATGGATTTATTTCAGGTGTTCTTGTCACACCATACCGGTTGTCACTTTTCGCTGAAAAGTGCTAACTTGCCACGTGATGCCACAACACAACCTCCTCGAGTTCATCCTGGCTGTCACGGCCAATCACCGAATGGCCCCCATTAACAAATGACATGGGAGCGGTTGCTCGTTGCAGTCTGACATGCCCACTACATGGGTATTGCCTGGGGTGTCCGATGCTCCACCAGCTGAGCTAGAGTAGAGGATTGGCTGAGGGATCATGCGTCATACATCCACGGATCACGCGCCCGATTTGAAGGCATTACCTGCGATGTTGCTTCCAAGGAATGGTGGTCGTGCAATAGCATAAGGCGGTGTCGTCTATTAGGAATATTCTATGAGACGGATGGTTGAAAAATGGAGGAAGGACACGGTTTATACAGCGCTAGGAAGCGAACGTTGATGCCGACACGGCCGAGCAAGAAACATTGTAGAGCACTTCTCCGAATGGCTAGCCCACAGTTGCATGTACCGGACTCGCACCGAAATTGCCGCGTCAGCTGACTTTATTGTTTTTGAGACCAATGGGTGACTTGATACAATGGCACTAAGAGAGAGCACAATTTTGCTGTTAACATTCATCAGCCGAAATCGGCGTTGGATTCGCGCAAGCAAGTGCGCAGTGGATCGTTCTCGATCACGCATCCCGTGGTGACGGCGTCAGAATCAGCCGCCCCGGCAATGGCTCGACACCAGCCGCGCTTCTGGGCTCAGTATGTCGTGTTCGACGCTTTCAGTCCAAGTTTAGCTCTTTCGTTTTCAGCACTTAAGAACTTCGGAATCTCTCCTCTGCAAGTTTTCAACAGCCCAGTGCATCGGGTAATATGGGTAATTTGGGGAGGACGGGGCCAGCTTGGACTGCCTGACCGGAAAACGCTTTTTATAAAGAGTTGTTTTGAGCACCAATCAGGTGCGTGTGCACGAGTTACGATGCGGGGGGGGGGGCAGAGCTTAACAAAATTTACTGAAGGTCCAGTTTAGCGTGCCGGAGGGGTGCGAAATTTCTTGCATGGCGTAAAACAACACGTCATATTCTGGATGTATTTAGTGTGACGTGTTGCCCTCAAATCTAGTAATGTCGGTCTATATTTACATCATATCAATGCATATGATAGGGGATTATAAGACCGTGAGAGGGGAACATGCATCCCGGGGGCCACTATATGCTAATGTGGCAATTCCAGCCAGTAAACGTACCGGGCTGTTCTTGTATACAAATGTACATTGACGGGTTGTTGAGCAACATCTGTGTCAAAATCGCCTTTCGGCTTACCTTTTAGATGTTGTGACATGATGCACGTTTCAACCCATTTAGGCATTATATTTTCATAACTTTGATCCGAACCTTTTGGATGCATGGATTTCTGGGATCAGCGCTCATGCTAAGCAGTGCTTGTTGTGTGAGCTCTGACCCCCATCATCTGATTGCGCAATTCCAGGCAACGGCAGAATCTAGTGGCGAAAGCCTAACGCGCCGCAGTGCTCGGCACGGAGTCTTGCCCTCTGACGTCATCTGACCTTTGGCGCGACCACCGGCACCGGCCGCAGGTCATACGTGCCAAGGGCAAATAGCGAGCGCCCTAAACCGACTCGAACCCATCACGCCATGGCTGAGTGGATCGGGAGGCAGGCGCTCCAACCAACTGAGCCACCGGGACGGATATCTGATGCGATGCCACATATACCGCAAACCTGTCGCGATGTTATCATCCCTCAGCAAAATGCCTTTCATTTAAGTGTCTAAAGACAACAATGCGCGTGACTGTTGCATCTGTCCGCCAGAAAACTAAGTCGGGGCAGCCCATTTTACCTCAAACAAAAAACTCTGTGACCGACAGTGGCACGTCGGCTGTAAGATCTCGAGTCGACACGCATACACGCCGGATGGCAGACGTATCTCATGCATTCTGCGCTATTTTTGCTTTTAAGCTGCGACACTACCCGAGACGTACACGACGCTTCCAATCTTTTCGTAAGGGGCTTCGCATGCTGATTTATCAGTATATTACGCTCATCCTTTTGAATTCTGCTTTTATCTCTGCAGAGGGCGTACGCTTTGTTCTCATTCGCTGGAAGGTTGTTCATGAAGTGAACGTTTACAACCACGCAGACAAGTGCTAGTGAATGTGATTTGGGTTTCAATAGTGTTGTTTAATTCAACCCCAGTTAAACCACACAAGTTGAAGGTGAAGCTGGTGTCTGACCCACAGCAAATGAAGTCTGGGCCGGTGTGTATCCAAAGTGCGAGCGTAGCAAAACAAGCTTCTCTTCACCCAATCATTCATATGCCTCTCCTTTGTTTTTGACTTTCTACATCCCTTTACACGCGCCAATTCCAAGTAACTAGTTGGGCTTGGCTTGGCTGAGCTCGGCTTGGCGCTTGTTAGCTGAGGAGCTCTTGACTGCATATCCCGTAGCCTTACCTTAGTCAAGTTCCCATCCTTTCCTCCGTCCTTTATTTGCCATGCCATGCCTATTCACCGTTCCACTTTTCTGAAAACGTTAACTATCACAACGAGCGCAGTAACAGACACCAGAATGTGTCGATGCACCGGCTACGCAAACTTCAAGTACATATACAAATATGGTGACTGATTATTACCGCCCAGTTATCCGTCGCGTCGCACGTCCCTGACATGTTTACTTCATCCCAAATGCAGCCGCATTACTTTTTCGTTAGAAGTAGATTCGGCCAGAGCTGGGGGAATATACAAGGAGAGACCATGCATGAACGTGACTGGTTGCAAACCTCTAAGGGCATTAAGTCGGCTTCACGCACAATGAGCCCGCTGTGGGACTTCAAACGTGCCGCTTCAAAAGTGGTGCAGGTCTCTCCACCGTGCTGTCCGCGTGACCGGTGTCGCGCCGCTGCCCGTTCGCGCACACGATCAATGACAGCACCGATCAATTACTGGGCTTCCTCGGGGGGACCCTCCGGTTAGAATGTGACGACCAGTGGCCACAGGTACCTCCTAGAGACGGAGAATGGATCAGACGAGGGTTCGCTATTCGCGTTAGCGTATACGAGGCCGGCAGCGGATGTGACCCTTCATGAACCAGTGACTGGGAAAATATGCGTGCCAAAAGAACATGAATTCGTTACCACACATCAGTCCCACGTTTCTTTTACTAGCAAGAAATAGTCGCGCAGTGACATTGTCTCCAAATTATCACAATGCGCTCGAACACGAGTGACAGACACTTATAATCATCTCAGTCATTATCGACCCACAGTTCTTTGTGATTGTGCGTCACTTACGTGTAAATTAGTTTTCCGAATAAGCAATAAGGAGAGACTAGTTCAACATTTTTTAGTATTGACGAGCCATGCTGTTAAGTACTGCTAAGCATTCGCCATCCGCGACCGTGGCTAAAGCATTTCTTGCAAGAGAATTGGAGCTTGAAAACCTGTGAAACTCAGCATCTTTTTCTTGGTTACTTAATTATTTAAGAATCTCAGCAAAACATGCTCTTCGCATAACCAGCCGCTTCATTTTTAAGGCACACCGTCTTTATTTGTGAGATGGCAATAACAGTGCTGACACCACTGCGGTGTAACTGTGATTTAGCGCAAGTAACATGTTACCCCATTTCTTCCACGGCATCCACGTGATCACTTACGATGAACCGTTTCAAAGTCACGCCTTAACGTTCAAGTGTTGTCGATGTTGCCTAACGCAGTAAAGTTGGCAAACGGTGCTGTTCAGAAAAAGGCTCGTGCTCGTTACTCTTATCTCATCTGTGCCAACTCCGCTCTTGGTAAAAACTACCAACTGAATGTGTTGAATGACCCGTTAGATAGCCTTGGAATGACCACACGAACTGTTCCCTCGTTTATCTGACGTCGAGCCGTTGACGTGACGCCGTACACCAGACACTGCGCCTATTCTTGTTGTGCTCACGCCCCTCCTCGCCCCTGTGGCGTCGTGCCGTCGCGCCGTCGCGCCGTCACCGGCGGCGCCCCTGCCGCAGTGGATCTCGTTCTGGATCAAGCCGGAGGCGGCGCCGGCGCGCGTCACGCTTGGGGTCACCTCGCTGCTCACGCTGTCCACCCAGCACGCCAAGTCGCAGTCCGCCCTGCCGCCCGTCTCCTACGTCAAGTCCATCGACAGCTTCATGAACGCCTGCACAGTGTGAGCAGCGCTGACACTCGGCGGTCAGCTGGCGGCCTTCGCGGCACTCCCGGCGTAGCTGCATGGCCCGCGGCGCCGCGCGGCGCAGCCGTCGATATTATCACCGGGGGGGGGGGGGGGGGAAGGAGCATTGGTTATTGGGCGCTTGCGTCCGCTGAACACTGCCCGGCACGATGGTTTCGCTCGCCTTGCTTTGCTACGCGGAGGTAACATCTGCTGAGGCCTCCTTGTCAGTGCCGAAATGTCAGGTCCTGATGCTGCTTAATACAACCCCATCGCGAGATGATTATTGCCGGCGAGATGATTATCGCGCCGTCTAAGCAGCGCGCCTCGGTGTTCGCTCCGAAAGATCGCACGGTCTCGGGTGTCCCGTGAGTGTTCCCGTGCAGGCCCCGCCGGCGCCGAGCGCTCACCGCGCCGCCGGCCGCTGCAGGTTCGTGTTCCTGGCGCTGATGGAATACGCGCTGGTCAACGTCGTGCTGGGCGACAGTCCGGAGCCGGCCAAGCCCGGCCAGCCGGCCGGCGGCGTCCCCGGCGAGCCGCCCAAGCCGGACCGGGTGTACCATCTGGCCGCACGGGTAGGTGGGCGAGCTGGGCCGGGGCGGCGGGACCGCGCGGGCCGGCGCAGGTTCACTCTTGTGGAGCGGAGGATAGCTATCCACCAGTTGGTTGATCGAGGAGAGCAAGGAGAGACGGCAGCATGGTGTGCCGAGCGCACATGGAACTTGAAAGATGGAGTGTGGCGTTATAGTGTTGACATCAGCCCCTGTTTATACATTGCCTTGGAACATGCCCTGCCGGTTGTTTCACGGTTGTCCCGACATCATGGTCTGCCTTGAGCACTGGTAAGTGTCCCCGCCGCCATGACGACAGTGCGTCACCATACGGATTTCAGGTGCCTGTGGAAGGGTTGCGTGGTACCTGCGCGCAGGCGACGCGAAATGAAACCTGGGACAAAACAAACTGTACTGTTGACAACCCCTGCGATGAACAGGCTGCACTGTTAACAACCCCTGGGACGAACAGACTGCACTGTTGACAACTCCTGAGACAAACAGACTGCACTGTTGACAACCCAGGGGACGAACAGACTGCACTGTTGACAACCCAGGGGACAAACAGACTGCACTGTTGACAACCCAGGGGACGAACAGACTGCACTGTTGACAACCCAGGGGACAAACAGACTGCGCTGTTGACAATTCCTGAGACGAACTGGCCGCGCTGTTGACGACCCCTGAGACGAGCAGGCTGTACTGTTGACGCCCCCGGTCTGGTTTTCAGGAGAACGCTCGCATGCTGACGGGTAGGCCGCCGAAGCCGCCGGGTCTGTCCAAGCACCAGGTTTGTCGCCGGCGGGCTATAACCGTCGACCGGGTGTCGCGCGTGCTGTTCCCCGCTACATTCCTCCTGCTCAATGCCACTTACTGGGTAGTCGTTCTAGACCATCTCTAGATGGCGCCGCCGTAGTTCAAGGACACAGCGTTAATGGTGAATGAAAACGACACTTAGGGCGACCTAAGCTTCTGAATACAGGTGCGTAGGCGAACCGAACGTGCATGAAAGAACCGAAGCCGAGTACGGTTTGTGGAACTCTGTCAGTGGTTCGTGGCTGAAGTGACCGGGGTTGGAGACGGTGGTGTTTTCCCCAATGCGCAGCGGCGCCGTTGGATGATGGCATTGACTTGTCGAGTGATGGGGTTGACTTGACATGGTATGGTGTGAGGGCTGTTGATACTTCTCGTCATAGGATTGTGTTCGTTAGAAACTTTGTGAGCCGTGCTGAATATGTGCGCTGAAGAGTGTGTAGGTGCCCCTGTGAACTCAGACGACAGTTTACCCTGAATGATGTGATGTGGAGTCATGGTGTGGAAGTGTGATGAGAGTGCGTGCCACCTGGGATAAGAATAAACTCACTCGGAGCGCACTCTTTTATTCATGAGTCGTGCAAACAGAGCAGGCTGAGGAATGTACAGATCTTGCAATTACAAGAAACCACGATGAGCGCGCACAAGCACTGACACAATTACATCCAGACCACACACCGCTGACCATATGTCCTCTCACCACACATGTAACAGGACTCACTCACTCGGCACAGAAAGCTGAGCAGCACAGGCGGCCTCGTGAGCTATGTCGTCTAGGTGTTCGTCTCTAAAGTTGCACCACGGGACGGCACTGTTGGCCGCACGGGGCGGCCGGACCGGGTTGTACCAGCCCACTGCCGGCCTGCAGGCCGAGGTCAGACCAGCTGGTCCCCTGTCGGTCCCGCGGTCAGGGCAGGCGACGAGCCCTGGGAGGTCCTTACGCCTGCCCGAGCTCCTCCCAATCGACGTACGACGTCCAGTATACGATGTTCAGGATGACGAACGACAGTGGAAAGCAGAACCGGGACATCTGAGGCAGAGGGGTGGGGTCAATACGCGCTCAGACGGCCGAGCGGTCGATTCAAAACAATTCAGAGGTCGGGTATCATGTCGAGGGGTCACACCCCCAACGGTTTTCCAGAATAATTTCCGACCGACAAAGCGTAGCCGCGTCAAACTGTACATAGCTGTAGGCAATTAAAAAGCAGTGTCTTTGGTATAGAAGGTTAGTTGTAACTAATAAGGCCGAACATCTTTGGCAGGTCAAAGTCAGACTGTGGCTGTCAGCAGTCAGTTTCAAAATAATCGTTCAATCTGATGTGACAACGGAGCATTAGACGAAGTCGTACATCTCTGAGATAGACAATTATACAATTAAATTTGCGAGTATGACAAAGTCCATGAACCTTGGGTTAGGTATGAAGGTCAGACGGAGGCCAAAATCAACCTGCTTTTTTACCAGAGAGCTTGCATGATGAGGTAATTACTGAGACTTATTTCGATTTTTTACAGCATCGACCACAAGAGACATCTTACATGAACTTCTTCAAGATCAGAACAGGTCACTTGCCTAAAATGACTCCGTATGACCTTTAACTTACCTAGAATGACCTAAAATGATCTGCTGTATTTAGGAACATGCCGCCCAGCGTAATCCTCGGTGCCTACTTCAACTCAAAAATCAAAACAATATCGTAGGATTTGGGTAGTCATGCCCTTCTTAAAGGTCAAAGAAGACCACTGACCTAAAATGGACAACAGTGACCTTTTCCTAAGAACAGGAACCTATGCTCAAGGCCGTTGCATGAGGAGGTTTGGGGCACTTTGTGTCATTGGGGCTTTACGACGCACTCAGCTGCTGATGCTATATGGCGCCGCCCGTCTCTCACCCTGGCAGGAAGGGCGGGCACCGCGGGGAATCGAACCCCGTACCTCTGGTTCTCCAGTTTTTCTGATTTTGGAACACTTCGAATCCAGATATGGAATTTGACCCTGTCTGTCCTTATTTAGCCTTACTTAACCGGAAGGTTATGACAAAGGAACCTCAAATTTGACGCAAGCGAACTCACATGCAAGCCAACCCATCCTGTGAGTTTGATGTCCCTAGCTCTCGTGGTTTCTGTCAGATCACAGGGAGGGGGTCAAATTGACACCCACTCGAGCGCGTGGTATTCAACCGGCGACCCGAGCGCGTGTTAGGGAGATTCGCCCAGCGGCCATAGCCTACAGATGACAGTCTCAGGCTCGTGCGCGGGGAAAGCAAGGCGTATGGTATTCAGCTTGCTCTTGCGATATTTCCTTCGACATGGCTATTTGTGCAAAACCCGGCAACAGCATGCTTGGCAAACAATTTCACCAAAACAGTTACAATCGTTGCTGGGTGAGCTTAGCCTCAAAATATTCCAGGCTGCATAGAATGCAATTATTTTTTTAATGTAATTTTACCTGGCATAAGTCAGACCAAATCTTGCATTCCATGAAACGGCTCGATAATTCTGAATGATCTACGCAACATCAACTCTTCGTTCCATATTTATGTGACTATATCTTTTGTGCATATCACGCATGTCTATCAACGGCTTAACGTTAAACTGCCTTTAGATGATGCCATTGTAACGCCGAAAGGACCCATTGGTTGGATAACTTAGAGGGAATGTTCCACATTTGTATGGGGTTTTGAACTGAAATAGCCATCTTGAACATCATTCGGTACATTTCGCAGCCCTGCCCTTCTTAAGAACTGAACCCGTCTAGTTTTTTAGCTACACGCCCGTGAAAATGTTCAGACTTTTTCGGGGAGATTATTTCAAGGTCACACAGGCATCCATGATGCGATAACGTCATTCAAATCCCGTCATTCCATAGGCCATGTGACGATGAAGGCCAAAGCAACTATAATCGTCGACTTGTTTAATTTGACGTTCGCGAGCACGGTTTCCATACATAACGGCCGTCTAATCAACGTTGTGGAAGGAGCGAAGACGTTATGAAACAATGATGTATTAAGGAGCACATTTACTTAGCAGAGAAATTGTGTTCTCTTGAGTGGTCTTTTCTATATCAAGGTATACTAATAGTTGTTAGTGAACTGATTTCATCACATGTGATGCTTGATTCAATATCTTCAACCGTGGAATGTTTATTCCCTTTAAAGCTCACCAGAACAACATCACAACCAGTTCCGCTGGGTTTGAGCAACGAGGCTTATTTCCATCGCTAAATATGATAAATGCCACAAAACAAGCTCAGTAAAGCGACAACACGCTTGGGTTCATATATCAGGATTGTGTGTGTGCGACGCGCGCCTTGTGTATCAAAAGTTGGCAAATCATGTGGATTGCTACGAGTCTGTGATGGGCCTGGCCAAACGACGCGTTAAAATGCGTATATATCAACGCTGCTATCAGCAGCAGAGATCTGACATCGTTTCCAAACAGAACCGTACTTGCAACGAGGCCCACCAACGTGTGCGATTACACAGGACGTCACCCACAGCTGCACGGCCTCCACACCGGGGCGGCTTGGACTGACCTGCTATTACACAGGATTTTACCCACAGCTGAGTGGCCCCGACACCGTGGCAGCCTGGGCTGACCTGCTGGTACACAAGACGCCACTCACCGCTGCGTGACCTTCACACCGCGGTGGCATGGACTGGCCTGCTAGTACAGAGGACGTCACCAACAGCTAAGTAGCCCCGACACCGCGGTGGCCTGGGCTGACCTTGTCAATGTAGAGCGCCACCTCCCGGCCGTGACAGAAGGTGACGTACTGCGGCTGCTGGGGAGGCGTGCGCGCGCCTCCTCCCAGCAGGCGGCGCGACCGGCTGAGCGAAGATCGCTGCCAGCACAGGTCAGGCCAGGTCACGGAGAGCGTTGCTGGTGGAGGTCGGGTCAGCTCCTGCGGAGCGTCATCGGTGGAGGCCAGGTCAGCACCCGTGAAGTGCTGCTGGCAGAGGGCACCGCGAGGGCCCGCGAGGCTGCAGCGTCAGAGATCTGAGCCGCGCCAGTGGAGCCGCCAGCAGCCGCGCCAGTCGAGCCGCGCCAGAGACGCCTCGGCCGACTGGCAAAGCAGGTTAGACGGGGTCAAGGCCACCGTAACGTGAAGCCGAGTGTCGCTTGCAGGGGTCACCGCAGCCACAAGAACATACAGGGCATCGACGTGTGGGCAGTTAGATAACGTAAACCTCCAGGCGCCCCCCCCCCCCCCTGGCAGCCCTACTTCGCGTCACGTCTGAGTTTTACTCCCAAAAGGCACGCTTTTAACACAATAAGAGGTTACTCAACTTAGTGTTATTGGCATCGCAGCATAATGCTTAAAACTACGGTTGCCTTGAAACTTAAGACTTAGCTCTGTAGCTGTGCTCATGCGCTCTAGCGCAAAACTTGGCGAATGAGATTGCGTTGCGAAAGTCTTTTGGGTCTTCAGTTTCCCCGCATTATTCGTTTATTGTCAGGTCGCACATGGAAGCCATATACAAACTAAGACAGCAGGCGCTGAGCACATATACTCATGCCCTGTGGCCAGGAAACGCCAGATGTTCCCCGAAGGCCACATGACGCACCAGGGGCTCTTATCTACATCATCGATTGCCGTCGATTATTCCTCCGCCTTATCATCGTTGCGCCTTTAGATACAGGCCTGGTGCGTGCGGTTATGTCCAAGTGATGTCTGGATGCCATGGTGGATGCGCGGCCTAAGAGTGAGCGTCCGCGAATACTGATGATCATCTGCAACGGCTCTCCTCATATTTTCGCCACATGATTCACCACATGGCCTCGTTCATAGACGTAGGAACGAGGGGGTTCCGTATATGCCATGGCATCCCACTTTCCGGTAACGCTGAGCATTAATCCTTTGGCAATGCATGGAACGAAACGCCTCCAAATTGGCACTGGCATCCCATTTTCTGGGACGCTCCTCCATCTATGCCCTCTGAACAAATACGCAAATGATCGTTGGCTTTGATTGGCACGACCACTCTGGCGGACGGCCAATTAACAAAATCAGCACGGAGAGATGCTGATGTGGCTGGAGGAGCTTCGCTGGAAGGAGATGGCAGGCAGGCGGTGTGGTAGCCACGGTGGGCCAGAACGTCCGGGGGGGGGGGGGGGGGGGGGCGAGTTATGCCACGTTTGGCTGCGATCTTCTTCATCTGGTGCTTTGCGATTTTTTTCCGCGGTTGACACGTGACAAGGAGTTAGCCAAAGCTCGGATAATTGCGGAGGACACCGCGACACGGTGTAGCGTTCAGCTTTGCCCGGTTGAAGTTTCTGGTACACTCATGACTTCGGTATGAAAACATATTTTGAAAACAATATAAACGTTGCAGAAGTCACTATATTTCAGTAACCATACCATCTTTAGGTGAGTTGAAGTTAGGGCTTTGGGACGAATGGTCTTGGTGTACTACATAATATCGTGCAAGAATGCTGACCATAGGAAGCTGGTGGGAATGCCATGCCGAAATTGGTTTTCATGACATGCCAATTAGTATCCATGCGTATCGTAAACGGAAAACAGCGGGGCACGCAGTGAACATACACTAGCAACAGGATTAGGTCCATATGGATCAAGTGTCTCCAGCTGCCCTGATAGGGGTCAGCTACTGCCTTTTAGATTATAGAAGTCTTCGGCTCACAAAGGAGGATTGTTGCGTTAAGTTTTTTTCTTCTTCTTTGTACCCAAGATGCCTGCACATATTGTCCCCCGTATTGGCGTGTCAGAAAGGGCATCAAATCACAAATTTGTGCGGAACTGAAACCCATCTGGGTTGTTGATGTTCTTCCTGAATGTCGCGCGACCCTGATAAAAAACCTTTCCCAAACCGGACGTCTGGCCTCCTATTTAGATGACCCAACACAGAGTGCATGTCACTTGGTACGCTGCTTTGCGAGGGGAGCCAGAAATAACGAGGAGCACACGGGACGCATCTACAGCTGCGATGGAGCATGTTGGCTCACGTAGGCCAACATATTCCCCACACACTTTGCGGGCTACACCTCCCTAGTGTCAGAACACGTCAAACCCGACGCATTTCGCAGGTATTTTGTCAAATATGTTCGGAATTCGAGCCGATGTCTTCACGGGTGCGGAAGCCAAGCACACCTAAAAACTGTCTTGATGGCATCTCGTCTAAGCCCAGCCCTAACTCCGAAGAAACTCACCAAGAGGTGAAAGCTGATAAAATATTTCATCAAGTTACAATCCCGACAGCCATAATTGGCGGCGGCCCGCAACTTGCGCCGGAAAACAAAAACGTCGAGTGCGTGAGGAGGGCAGATTGGGCCGGGATCGCAAAAACGCTCGTCGCCCGGCCGCTCGCCGCTCGCCGTCCGGACGGCTGCGGCCCGCTGCGGGCGGCCGTGGTGACCGTGCCGGCGTGCTGGCGCTGCCCTTACCAGCCGGCGGCGCCGGACAGAGGCAGCGCTGCCGCCGCCGTCGGGCAGCCAGCACAATGTGGCCCGGGAGCGGTCAGCCGAAAGGCGGCCCAATTATCTGAGAACGACCCTGCTGGGCTGGCGCTTTAGCGGAACATGCTGGATGGAGGAAGTCCGGCGGGTGTCGAAGAAATGACCTCGTCGATGCTAACGACCCAGCGCCCAGTAAAGTGACCAGAGGGAAATAAGGCTCATATTAATCAGCTCTGCTACTCTGGGGCGTACCATAACGGTGGTAAGCATGCGTGTACTATCAGCTGTCGAAGCCACCAAGTTACGTTCTGCGCGGGAAGCGGTGTGGGAAGCGATGCGGATGCGGGTGCGGAAAGCGATGTGGGAAGCGATACGGATGCGAGTGCGGGAAGCGATGCATCAGAGCACAGCGTTGGCTGGTTTCAGTCTTGTTGGGCATGTAGAAACAAGCGATTCCAGAGCTTGTTTCAGAGCTCCGAGGCTCCAAGCTAATAAATGTCATGACATTTCCCATGCATGACACCCAAATACCCCGCTCGAATAGCGTAGCTGTCGTCAATAAAACAATCATTTCACGGAGACTAGTGTCTTCGGTTAGGGTGTGTGCAGTCGGTGCGTAACCTCACGTAAATCGCAATTGCTGTGTAGCTGTTCAGCGCTGGCTGGTGGAGTGGCATGTAGCTGTCCTATTCCCTGTATGTTTCAAGTAATTTTGTGAGACCACTTATTTTTCTCTAAGTCCTTATGGTTTATTTCATGTTGCACGCGGATAACCATTGCCAAATGCCGTTATCACGATAAAAGTCAGGATTTACTGAAAAAACATATTTTTCTAATTTTCCTTTTCTGGTTTTGAAGTCGACGAGGGTTCTTTCGTTTCGTCTTCAGGAAAATGAAGCAAGCCATTCTCCATCGTTCTTTCGCTGAAGCCTTAGTCCATAACAAGCACCGCACGCTCCCCTCCATATCAAAAGCATCTTTCGTATCACAAGGTTATTACATTATCCTCCATATCAAGTGATGTGGTCTAAATCACGTGCTGTCGCGGCATATATTGTTGCATTACGTGGATCACGCCCGATTTGGGTTGGCAATTCTCTCGGTATCGCCAAATCCGGACCAGCCTGCAGGAAACATAAGACCCGGCCCCACCAGCGCCAGCTCAGCGGCCGGGCTCATAAGAACCAGCTCAGTGTCTGGCTGCACCAGCGCCAGCACAGCAGCTGGCCTCTCATAGGACGAGCTCGGCCGCTGGCCTTACCCGAGCTGCCGGAGCCAGGTCAGTGACCGGTCTTTTTAGAACCTGTGCAGCGGCCGGTACCACTACAGCCAGGAAATACCAGGCCTCACTGGAGCCAGTGCAGCGGCCGGTACCACTACAGTCAGGGAGTGCCAGGCCCCAACGGAGCCGGTACAGTGACCGACACCATCGCAGAATACCAGGCCTCACCGGAACCTGTACAGTGGCCGGCATAGGAGCCTTTACAGCCGGTACCACTACAGCCAGGGAGTACCAGGCCCCATTAGACCTGTACAGCGGCCGGCACCACCACCGCCAGGGAGTACCCGGCCCCACCGGACCTGTGCAGCGGCTGGAACCACTACCGCCAGGGAGTACCCGGCCCCACCGGACCTGTGCAGCGACTGGAACCACTACCGCCAGGGAGCACCAGGTCCAACGGAGCCTCCACAGTGGGCGGTACCACCACAGCCAGGGAGTACCCAGCCTCACCGGAGGCAGCGCAACAGTCGGCCCTGCAATTCACCAGGGTAGCATCCTTACCAAGCGATTAACTAACAAACGGGTGAAAAGTTCGCCAACACCGCGGTGAATGCATATTTAAACGAAGCCCTGAGCGACGGAAAAGCGTCGGATCTCCACCGACTAAGTCGACTCGCTTAAGTGGTCGGAACTGCGTTGGCGCACACTTTTAGCAGGGATCAGTAATGATTTTAATGCGTTGTCCCAATAGAAATGCTATTACTTGATGCATCGGAAAGGGTTATTGGATGGAATCACACCACCTCAGGAGTGACAGATTGGAGGATGGGGTGGGAGACTGAACTGCCAACTTTGCCAGTAAATTGAATTGATCTATAGTGATACATGGAAATAAACGACTTAAAAGCGGACTTAACCTCCTCTCAATCTCTCGCTACCTTCGCCTCCCCCCCCCCCCTCCTCCAAAAAAACACTTACTCTTCGGAAACGAATGCAATCGTTGATGGGCAAATACTTGCATTCGTTGGAGCAGACTGGTCAGAACAACAGCAGGCGAACTTCATGCAATTAATAGCGTCAAAGAAGCTCACCAGATACTTTTCATCGGGATTTGAAAGGTCTTCTTCTGAGAAGCCCTTCATCGACTTCGTAGCTATCGGGCCCATGAAGTTGTTTACGACGGCGAACTCCATCAGCGACGAGAAGACGAACACGGAGCACGACGACATCCAGACATCGATCGCCTTGACGTAGGAGACGGGCGGCAGCGACTGCTGCGATTGCTGGTTCTGAGTAGCTGCCGATACATCAGATGGGGTCAGTTTCAGACCACGCTCCATGTGTCGGGAATGTAAGAGGATTCATGCCGATTTATGAGGGTGCTATGGAAAAACCATCGTACAAAACACATCACATATCAATTTCTCAGTCAATAACGACATAACGTGGCACGGGTGTCACTTTCTACGGTCGGTTGAGGGAGTGGGGTTGGGAGGTGGGGGGTCAGCTGGTAGGGTTGACCTAACCTAGTCCCAAAACCTGATTATTCCTCGGGTTTTGGCTACCTGAATTTCCGCTTCCGATGTCAACGAACTTTTTTAATCGGCCAACACAAAATAAGTTATCCGAGAATGATTTCCATTTGCAGCCCATGCAAATCGACGGCCTCATAAGAATCTTAGAATTAGGTGTAATGCATAGAAAACACTTTAGTGAGACGGCCCGGTTTGATCACCGGAAAGGAGTCTCGTTTGTGGTGCATGGAATGTGGTCAGTGGCAAAAAAAAGTTCCATGCAGAATGGTGAGGCGTGTCAGCTGCAGGTTACATAAAAATGAATGCGTACGGGATACGTTTCCAGTCAAGAAAGAGGCTACAGAAAATGCATGGTGCGCTATCAGGGAGTATCAATGCCTAAAATTGAAGATGAGCTTGCGCGGCCTCAACAGACATGCCGGTAACCGAAGGGACAGAGAGCGTGGAGGCTGGTAACCAGATGGGTCACCGGAATGGCTGTCTTAATAAACAGAGCGCCAGCGCTTTAACATGCTGGAAAGTTCGTATGATGAAGACAACGTTGCGCTCGTGGTGCTCCGGCATATCATCTGAGAGTATGAGCTGAACGCAATCAAGCTTCAGCTTGCATGGGTGTACTGGCTAAATGACATTATGTAGCAAGCAGTGGTTGTGTCGAGAACATTTGACGTCACGAAGTTGTGTTCATGGTCACTTTTTTCGCAAAAATCAATGGATGCCACGCCAATATTCCCTCAGTCTGGAATGCACCACACACAACGCGTCGATTCTATTCCTCGACACCCTTTTTGCAGTGCAATCGGTTTGAAAATATTCCGCTGAACGGTACTTTAAGCTCATGTCCGCCACATTATATCACATTGTAATTCGGCACACCCCCATGCCTACTAAGAGAGTTCATATAGCATGAAGGCGGAGTGCGGTGCCTGCAATTTCTGATCCCCAGTCGTGTGAGCGTGGTGGGGCTTAATAACATCCATTCTTTTCCGTGACAGCGGATGCTCGCAACACCGAGTGAGGTCCTGCACTTCATTGAGTTACAACACGTTCTTAATTTAAACATTAGGAAAAAACAAGTACAATAAAAAACAAAGCACAACCAAGATCAAATAAGATCAAATGAAATTTTTTTAGCAGCGGCAAAAGACCACGGGAACATGATGCTTGTGCACAGCCGTCATCTTCTCCCGAGGCACGAACACACCATCAACAAACACAAACGAGTGACACACGCCGTCTTGGGACTTCTTAGACCCTGAATGTACTGCTGCACTACAGTTGTGTTACCCACACAACTACTACTGCTTCTATTTTATATGCTTTTTCAGTTTAATGTCATCATCGCCCACTATTGTGTTTTTCAGATGGCCGCATTTCAACGTGGCGAGCCAAGGCACCTGTGGCCATATCGCACCACGCCACCCATACGCACGTATACACACAATACCAGAATGCATACATACATACATCATCAATCGCAGACAGACACGCCGCATTGAGATGAGAAAACATCGCTCGGCTCCAACGTTCGTCACGCCCAATAGATGCACATAAGACTTGCATCGGCGGCACTTGTCCGCCTCCCGTTAGTTATGTGCGGCTACTGAGGGCCGTATCCTACTGGCGCGTTTGACGAACGCTCGGCCGGCATACGCTGTCCGCATGACGAGCTTAGCCAATCCGCACGTAGCCTGAGATTGTCCGTGTCCAATAAGCAAGTTACTTCGGCTTTGCGGCGCGGCGTCGTCTACCAATAAGCGACGATGGTTAGGCAGAGTTCCTACTGGGACGCACGGGGTAGCCGAAACCCGAAAACTTCTCGTCGGAAAATACTAAAAAAACAACCAGCAGGCATCAAAACTGAGAAATACATGTCACAACGGGGGCGGTCAGGCAGTTGAAAACGACTCGCAGGTGAGCATGCTAGTTACCGGATTGGCGTTCTTATGTATTTGCAGACACAGCAGATCTTATACCCGAAAGGACGGCTGTATTCAACTTGTCAGGCTAGTTAAGCATGCCAAATACCAAAAGATTCAAGGGAAGACTGCATTGGAAATGAGACAAATTCGATTTTTGTAGGCGGTGCGATGGGAATTAGGTTTGTTCGTGACGTGCGGATGCCCGCCCGCTGTGGCACTCATTTCGCAGACGGCTGGTTTACGCAGTGTTGTGAGAATGGCGCACTGCCCCAAATTCAAGCTTCACTGAGTTGGGATTGACATCGTTTGCACGGCGGCGCGTCTGATGTTAGATAGACATGGAGCTGTGGGCAAATAAGACACCTGATGAGAGGATGCTTTGTGTTCACCAGCGAAAATTCCATTCCCATTTGAAGTCTACCGGTTGTTGAAGTATCATAAGTGCTTTGTGAACGGAAATCATATATTGGACCAATCTTGGATCGCACTGTGAAGGCATGAAAAGACAAAAAGGCAGGTGAGCTTTGCTAAATAGGCTTATGTAGTTATTGATCAGTGGGCCGTGTCAAGGCAACTAAACAAGTAGCTTCTGGCCACATGCCTAGAGGGCACAATGAAAAACAGAGAAATGCATTGGCAAGTTGAGCAATATGAAGCTATTGATCTCTTATCCGTGCTCCCAGGAACCTTAACCACATCCGATGTTTCCGCGGGAAAGCTAAAAACAACAACCAAGGCGGTAAACAACACAAAACAACATCGGTTAGCGACAGCCAAGAGTTCCACATTTCCCTTGTGAACAGCTTGCGACAAGGTGCTGTTTTGCAACGCGGGTTAAGCAAGCCTACAAAATTAGTAGACTTTCCTGGGCAAGATAAATCGACGAAACCCAAGTCCCCATCATGTGACGGATATAACATAACTATAACAAATACAATATACCAAACGTATGCGGGATGCGTCTGATTTCCGAGGTTTTTTAACGTTACATTGTGTGAAGCCGGGCGGACTCGCCGGCTGTTCTCACCCTAATGTTACCAGCCATATGACGCCGGGTGGACCCGCCGACAACGTTCTCACCAAGCGTTAGCAGGGACGTGACGCCGAGTGTGACACGCGCCGGGATCGCCTCCGGCTTGATCCAGAACGAAATCCAGGACATGACCACGATGAGCGCTGACGGGATGTAGGTGTGGAAGAGGTGGTAGCCCAGGCGGCGGCGCAGATGGAACACGACGGCCAGGCAGGTGAAGTTGCCTGCCGGCGGGCAGACGGGCTGCGGTCAGCGGGACACACGGCAGGCGGGTCATGCGATGCTAGCCGGCCAGCGCTCGGTGAAGCCACAGATCAAGCACTGGGACGATCCGCCAAACCACCCGGCTGTCGGCGGATCTTTGGGTCTTTTTGGGTTGTTCCTCATGTTTGACTCCGTCAACAAAGCTCGACATCGAATCAAATCGAATCAGATTGATAGAAGTTGTAGAAACAACACAAACTTTGTCTTCACACATTCGTCGTCGCCCCCACAAACCTTGTAGGGCTCGCCCCTTCACCCAGCCATGTCCAAACGGCCCCGGCACAATAAAAAACTTTGGGAATCATAAGCGGATCACGGTTGCGGTCGAATTTCACAGAACGTGGCAGGAAATAACGTATTCTACCAGCATCTGGCACCATCAAAATATCACACCAGGACGAGATCCGTTCAGCCAGTCTAACCACCCTGTGGACCTAGATCACTCGCGGACGTGCGTTTGCAGTGGCCGTGACGTCACCCGCACGCACATGCAAGCACACTCCCGCAACCATTCACACGCACACGCACACCGCCGCGCCCTCAATACCCCCCATGCATAATGCGACACACACCACGGATGTCTGCCTCAACCGAGGCCAGCGAAAAACAGCGCATTGGAATCTGGTTTCGTTGTGAAGCCCCCCCGCCCCTCTCCCCCTGCGTTTTCGTGGGGCTTGTTGTCAATATCGGTAAAAGCATCGATCGATGTTCAGTACACGAGGCCAAAAGGTTTCAGTTTTGCGTTACTGGGCTGCATAGCTTTTGTGCTTACAGTGCCGACCTAAGTTATGCCGGCCCGAATGGAAAAACTCACAAAAGGTGATGTTCGCTGAGCGAAAACAGCTAGCGGGAAGAACTATACTACGAGGCCGCAGGAAGAAATACGACAGTCTTAGTCGGTTCGTTTTTCTGTCAGCCCGCTCAACACTGTGACCAACAAATTTCAAACAAATCCGGCTTTGATGGCAGACTTTGATGCTCATCGCTCGTGCGGCCACCTCCGCTAATTGAACTCTGAACTAATCTGGTAAACCACCACCAAGAAGGAGCGTCAGGGGTCTCGGACACGTCGCCACCCAGCAAATACCGTCCAGACTGTAAGACCACCAATGGCCGACTCAACCATCTCGGCGAAAGCTCGCCAGTTCGTCGTTTCAGTCCTTGTTGGACATGCATTGGTCCGTGTTTTGGAGCTTCTAGCAGCATGCGTCTAAGTGATCTAGGCCTGCCGCGGGATGACAAAAACGGTGGGCAGATCATCCTCTCAGTTTTTGCCATAAACACATCTTACCAAGCAAGCAAAGCGCAGGCGGCGTATTTTGCCGTATGCAGCAGAAGTGATCAGTTTAAGAAGACTAAGTTTCTGAAGCTTCGGTGTGTTCACCTGAGAAACCAACAACCGAGAGCACGAAGAGGACGAAGTTCCTGAAGCTTCCGTGTGTTCACCTGAGAAACCAACCACCGGGGTTCAGGTAGCGCACAATCTCCCCTCTATACGCGTGCACATGCGTACCTGTGGAGTATGCCAGTGTGCAGTCCTCGGTGTTGTTTTTTGCGATGTCCAACTGCGGCAGCTCTATCTCTGGGTTCACCATGAGCGGGTCCGTCACGTTCCACTTGAAGATCAGGTCATAAGTGGTATGCGATACTGAAACAACGTGGACCATGAATCTCTCTCTCTCTCTCTCTCTCTCTCTCTCTCTCTCTCTCTCTCTCTCTCTCTCTCTCTCTCTCTCTCTCTCTCTCTCTCTCTCTCTCTCTCTCTCTCTCTCCCCCCCCTCTCTCTCTCTCTCTCTCTCTCTCTCTCTCTCTGTCTCTCTCTCTGTCTCTCTGTCTCTGTCTCTCTATCCTTTTCTCTTCCCCTCTCTCTCCCTCGCTCGCTCCCTCTCTGTTTCTCTCTTCCTCTTTCTCTCTCTCTCTCACTTTCTCTCTCTCCCTCTCTCTCTCTCCTTTCTATTCACATCTTTCCCCGCTCCCAGTATCTCCCCACAGCCACGCATGCAGTGTATTTGTAAGTCGGCGGTCGATCCGCCGCATCAGGTCGTCCGTTTGTCCGTTTCCGGCGGCCGGCAGCTATTTGCGGCGGACCGCGGGCGAGCACGCCGGGAAGATGCGGTCGTGCTGGAGAGCGCCACTGCGACGGCGCCCGGCGGCGGGCGCGCACCGCTGCCAGGCACCGCCGCCCGGGCCGGCCCTCTCGGCACGGCACGCTCGAGCGGCGGCCCGCGGGCCTTTCATCCGGGCTGGTCTGAGGACCTGGCTCGCGGCTGCGCGCTGGTGCCGAGGCCCCGCCAGCCTGTGGGGCCTGCCGGCACCGCACTGGCACGGACGGCCAGGCGGTGTCACACTCGACGCTGAGTACATTGCGGCGGGTGACACCGCCTCGAGCGGCTGCGCTTCATAACAGTACGGTCCATGCGGTCCTCCCTATCTCCAGGTCTTGAAATTGAGTCTCTATGGGCGTGTTCCAGTCAAAAGAGACAAGCTTGAGACGTCAGTCAAAGCGCGTCCCAGTCAAAGAGACAAGATTGTTGATATGTGTGGTTCTGAAATGGTAATTAGGTTACTCCTGTCGGTAATGGACATGGATGAGTGCTCATGAATTCATTAAATAAATTGCACGAACGCACACACACACACACACACACACACACACACACACACAACACACACACACACACACACCCACACCACACACACACACACACACACACATACACACGCACACATACACACACACACACATATATGTGTGCATATATATATATATATGTATATATATATATATATATATATATATATATATATATATATATATATACACATACTTGGCACTTGAGAGTACAACTTCAAGCATTGCCCATCATGGTGTGTCAGACACGGTATTAGCGAACGGGAGTTAGGAGATCTGCTGCCCAGCAGATAGTGCTTCTTCTGTTCCACCGCTGTATTGGTGATGGTTTGAGACTAGATTTAGTTTTCTACCAGCATTGTAAGCAATCAGAGTTAACGTCTTTAGTGCCAATGTATAATTGTTGAGGTTGTGCTTTTTCAATTAAATTAATGTTTACATGCTAAATAAAGCTAAGTTTAACCAAAAAAAAGTGCATCCTCCGGCCTCAGTGTTGCTTTGTTTTGGGCAAATGTTCAAAAAGAACATTACCCATGTGCATGGTAACATGACTTGTAGCATCTCATGATATATGTATTAGGTGCTTTGCATGTGCCTTGTGCCAGTGCCCTGGATCCCCTAGTCTAAAATTATAAGACAGGCAGAGGCCGGTTAGTAAGAACAGCGTGTTTTCTTCCGACCACTTCTGAGTCAAAATTTCCAGTAGCATTCATACATGACAGGCATTTCCATGTGCGCGTGTAGAATTATCATCGTAAGCTATCGTTGATAGATCTGGCAAATAGATCTAGCAAATCTATCTAGCAAATAGATCTGGCAAATAATTGATAGATCTAAGCAAATACATTTACAGTATCGGCCATAGCTGAGGCACCTCAAGCAGCTGCAGGGTTCTACGGCTGTTAACTAGTTGGTTCATCAAATTGTTGACTCATCCGGTTCATCCATGCTGCTTTCAGCGCAGTCAAATGCCGTTTGTCCCTCGCCATTGCTGGTGTCTTAGTGTTTGATGGCGTGGTGACGTGTCCATACGTTTGCTGCGGCGCTAGTCGGCATGCGTGTGCCGGCCTCAGTGTTGCACGTGCAGGATTATGCGTTCCGTCATCGACGTGACGGTGTTGCCGGTGTGGACACAACAATAGAGGCTCGTGGATCATTGCGGCATAACTCGCTTTGAACTTAATATCACATAAAATGTCCAGCGTTCAATAATTAAACATCTTGGACTCGTGACACATTACTTAATGAGACAATCGGTAATGAACTGGCTGTGAGTGTCTGACGTCGCAAATGCGATATGCAGACTCCAGGTTGGTAATGATCCATGATGCCCGCACGCTTCCAATCAAAATATAAGGCGCGACAAACGGAGACACACTCATGCGTATGTAAAGCTGGACGCACACGCAAGCATTATATGACACATATTTACTTACCATGGCATTACCACTATACACATTTACTTACGATGACGCAACTATGATACACATTTACTTACGGCTTTCGATCATCATGGAGCATGATTGCGTGTCATGTGGGTACGCCTCAAATTTCATGGCGCAGGAAAGCACCAGAGTCAATCTGAAATGAAATGTTAAACGGATTATTTGGTACGAAGTATGGCACGATGTGTTTTTTGGCACGACATTAGCACAAAGTATTTATGGTACCAAATGAAAACTTTTTTAGGCTGCGCGCGTTGTTTCTGGATTAGTGGATAGCGGACAGTAATTACTCACGGACAGATAACGGACGGACAGTAATTACGTGATTCACATCCCGGTAACATGCCACCAACATCCAAGCATCCCTGACTGATGTATATATATATATATATATATATATATATATATATATTCATATATATATATATATATATATATAAATGCATGTATATACATATATATACACACATATACATATATATATATATATATATATATACGTATATGTTATGTTGTCGTCTGTTTTCGCTTGCCGTGGATTTGTCTGTAATCACGGACAGGCGTGCCGATGCTGTAAATTATCTCATTGTTTTTTGACGTTTCTAGTATTTCATACATAAGAGCACATATTTAACAAACACGTGATGACATGGCGACGACCACTGTATTTGAACATTTGATTACATGACAACATGCCGCGGTGGGTCAGGACATCTCACTTGCTCATGTAGAGTAGTGTCTTGTCCTTGTACAACCAGAGGTAGTGGTTGGGCACCGACATCTCGTGGAATGTGACTTTCTTGGCGTTCTTAAAGATGCAGTCTGGCCGCCAGATGTTGAGCAGCCAGTTGACATCGAGGATGCGGTACTCCTCCGTCATGTTCTCCGGAAGTCGCAGTCGGTGGTCGCGCCAACTTTGCGCCAGGAACACGTCCGCCACGTACGTCTGTGGCGTAAAGACACGGGCAGGGCTTGGGTACCTATAGGTATACAAAGCATCTGCGTGCATATATGTATACCTCGCCCGTCGCTGTATACGGGCGTGTGTGTCAGACGTGCGCGGATACACGTCGAGGCTTTGTAACTCCTTGGCGCCTAGTCCTCGGTTTGGACACGTCTGAGACGCAGAAACGCTGTTTATGAGAACCAGTCTAGATGTGGGACAACCAAACTAACGGCTTCCTGTCATACCGTAGTGGCAGCGTTAAACAAAATGCATGATATCTCTTCAGTCTTATTTTTCTTTCTGTGATGGAACACGGGTGTACTATAGGTATATAGCATGCACCAGAATGGCCCTTCGCTCAAGCGGTATACAACTGAAATGACGCATGATGTTATGCAGCGCTCCTCCGTCCTCGGGGTGGAGCCAGCGATAAGCTGCGTGGGGTGACGCTGGCCCGGCGGATAAGCTGCGTGGGGTGACGCTGGCCCGGCGGATAAGCTGCGTGGGGTGACGCTGGCCCGGCGGATAAGCTGCGTGGGGTGACGGTGGCCCGGCGGATAAGCTGCGTGGGGTGACGCTGGCCCGGCGGATAAGCTGCGTGGGGTGACGGTGGCCCGGCGGAGAAGCTGCGTGGGGTGACGGTGGCCCGGCGGATTAGCTGCGTGGTGTGACGTTGGCCCGGCGGATAAGCTGCGTGGGGTGACGGTGGCCCGGCGGATAAGCTGCGTGGGGTGACGGTGGCCCGGCGGAGAAGCTGCGTGGGGTGACGCTGGCCCGGCGGAGAAGCTGCGTGGGGTGACGGTGGCCCGGTGGATAAGCTGCGTGGGGTGACGGTGGCCCGGCGGAGAAGCTGCGTGGGGTGACACTGGCCCGGCGGATAAGCTGCGTGGGGTGACGGTGGCCCGGCGGATAAGCTGCGCGTCTGGGAAGCCAGAGATTCGGGTTCGATTCCCTGTGGTGCCCGCCTCGCTTGCCAGGATGAGAGGCTGGTACTTCATATACAGCTCCAGCTGCTGAGTGCGTCGTAAGGCCCCAAAGACAACAACAACACCAAAGATGAACTACATGTTTTCTTTTCACAGGGCCTCGGTCTGAAAATATGTCTTTCGAAGTAAAGTTTCCCAGAATGAGGCGCAAATGTAATCTCAGAGCAGCATGCTATACAACAAATGGCGAACAAAGAAAACATCGCCGCCATCGAACCTTTTCCATCAGCTCACGACGCCGTAGGGTTACGGCTTAAGACACTGTCATAGCTGAAAGCACAACTACTTACCACGCACCTCCCAAACCACTGATCAGGCCATAATTTTGCAGAATTATTTCAACGTTAAGAGCGTAAGCCTGGCGAAAAAGACACAATATCAATTATGTGAAGATGTATATATCTACGTATTTGACTCAGTGATTCTTATGAGTGTGCACAAATGCTTTGATCCTGTCTCCATATGCTGAGGTTCGTCCGAAATCGATGTGATGATAATCGGGCCCAGGGTAAGTGCAAACACCACAGGTACCAAAATGTAGTGGACGAAGTTTTGCCGGACGAGGCTCAAAACAAATGTGATCTGGGCTATTTTGTTTTATTTAGTTGTGTTTTTCCTGGTTGTCGCCAGATGAAGACATTTGTTCAAAAATATGGCGCTTCGGCTCATTCTGAACAGCGTTCTAAGGAATCAGGATGGAATAACGCGTGGCCACTCAATTCTTTACCGCTATAACTGCGATGAAAAGACGAACATCTACAAAGACAATCATTATCCCACGATAAAAACCATGACAAAGTACTTGCAGATGCTCTCAAAAACATTGTGGACAAGTTGAAACCGAATGCAAGAGTGAGAGCTACAAAAAGGCAGTGCTTGTGGTATGCCCCCCCCCCAAAAAAAAAGAAGAAGTAATTTCGCACTGACACAGACATGACTACGCGAGGGCCCATGTTCCCTAAACAGCGACAGGAAATAGTACTAAATATATCGTCGCCCATGACATCCCACAACCTTATAGCTCCAACACGATCGGTGGCATAATCAGTACAGATAATTACAAGCATTAAGACGGCTCTAACGGACAGCGGATAACTTTATCACACATATGGAGTTAAACAATGATTTTCAAATCCCCTGGTTGAAAGAATGATTGTGAAACCTTACTTCGCTTGTCTCTGCAACCACCCAGCAAGCCAACAGAGGTTTTGTGGTCACTGTGCTGCCCAGGGCCAGCTTGGCCTTCTGTAATGTTTCATGCCTGAATATTTTAAAACTTGGGTCAAATGTGGGGGGATGAGGGATAATATTTTTCCAAGACGAATAAAACACTGTACACGCTACCGACGCATAGTTGCAAAATTACAGATAATTGTTTTCAAAGATTTTCTCAAATTGGGCTTGGAGCCACTCAATGTGGGGCTGATAGTTTGCCATGGCATATGACCTTGATAGTCAAGGGATGCGACAGATTCTGAACCGTTAGCATCCATAGGGTTGAAAAACAAATTGCTTTCGTCGGTTCAGGGTCGAAAACACTTGACCATACAAGAATCGTGACAACTCAGTCACCTGACACATTTGCAATTATCAGTGAATAAAAGCTCCGTCCACGATGAAACGCGGCTCTGAAGTCATATTTTTAGTCGTCTGCAGCTGCGCTAAATCCAGTTCGCTTTGACAAAGGCAGCGGACATTTGGCGGCCGAGGAGTCGCAGGCCGGGCCCCACTACACCGCCCGCCGTCTAATCACCACCGGCGATCAGAATGTGAAGGGCCGGCCGAGTGCGCCCTTAGCGTGCTGAATCAGATGCTTCTCCTGTTCGCGGACGGATTCAGCAGCGCCGAGGAGCCCTCGACGCCGCTCCGAGTGCTTGAGCAGCATCGATTCAGCTCTCGCGAGACGGGCCCGCCGCTGCTTTAGCATATCCGCCGCTGATTCTCGACGCAATTCGGACCCGGCGCAGACGTGGGGTCCGACCGGGGTCGCCGGCGCACGAGTGGACGGGGCCAGCAAGGCGTCCTCCGAGGCGTGCGGGATCTGTGAGATATCGTCTTGTTGCAGGAAATGTGACGGATTTATGGCACCTTATTATTCTGGAGCATAAATGTATGACTGGCAGTATGAAACAGGTGTCATATCATCATGACAATCAACAAAACATGGGATAATGGCGCCGGTTAACGTTGGGAATACGTACAAAGGTCTAATTAAGGCAATGAAAAAACCTTTCACGTTTTTAGATAGCAGAGGTGGAATGCTGCAAAGTTTGCAAGTAATTTTGCAAATGGGACTACCTGAAAATTAGCTGGCTTTCTTGGCTTCGCAAATCTGGTTGTCAGTCGGCAACATCGATGGATGTAGAATGCTTTACGTTTCAGGCTACTGTGTCCGAAGTATTACGATAGACGAACACCGCTGCATGATATCCCACTGGTCACGGTGGACTGTGACCGGTCACGTGGTCCAGTATCACGTCTTAGCTCAGTCTCTGCTGTTCTAGGCGTGACGAAGCTTGGGGCATTTCCATGCTGATTACTAGCGCCTCTGGTACATCTGACGCATTCACTTGCGGGTTAAGCACCACCTATGCAGCATCAATGACGTGCATCGTGCGACAAACAGAAGCCTTTTGCGTGATGCTGGTGGATGCAGGAGTTTACTGTTAAAGGCGAAATTGTACCCCTGGTCGAGCCTTCTCAATGTGCTTTGTTTGGTTTGCCGATAAGTTAGAAAAAATAGTGCGAAAAATAGGGAAGCGGAGTATGTTCGAGTGCTAAATAATATGGCTTATGTGACCGTCACTCAAGGTCTCCTGTGAAAACATTTCATGCCGTCGTATCCAAAAATTCACTTGAGAAACACATGTATTTATGTATGTAGCCCGTGTATTTAGCCATGTCCTGTATGACGAGGCATTCCAAAATGAAAGAGGTTATGGAACGATCGAGACGAGACACTCCTATTACGGGTTGACTAATCGTTCGTAAAAACGTCTTCGGTTGTTGCGTTGATATGTAGAAATACTACGTTTCTTTGCAAACGCGCAGATGTTTCTGACAAGCTTGGTGGTAGCATGCTGGACTCGTTATTGGAAAACTCGGTTCGGATTCCAGAAATACCGAAGAGAAAAATGTAGGTAGCGACGCACACACGGCTAGAAGACAAACAGCATACACGTGAAGCCATTTGCCGGACTCAATATATCCCTCGGCGGACTGACCGATGCTTCGCGCATACACCACACCGGACGGGCACGGCTGTTCGAAGAATTATTGCATCCTCAAATCAGAAATCTTAGCCTGGTAAGTGGTGTTAATAAATGACACGCAATGTGCCGTGTCATTGAACGGTTTTAACATTAGCCTCAGCCTGCGGTAAATGGTTTTTATCCAGCTGCGATCCAGTGTTATGTCACTTGGTGAAAGCTTTCAGCTCGCTGGGCGTTTACATTTTACCAAGTCATCTTCTGAACATTTTCCAAAAAGGGGCATATGAGACCTAAGAAACATTTAGTTCAGTTCAATCAACGTCCTCACAAACCTGCGGGCGGCTGATTTTCTATCGGTGGAATCACTTTTTGCAACATGCGCATAATCTCTGATTTCGTCATCTTCCTTTCTACCGAGGACATAATCCAGATCATTTGGAAAATGACCTTTTGCTTCCCACGCGACCAAGTCACAGGACAAAACTGCATCACTGGTTGAATGGAATTATGTTCATGAGCACGGCCATTGCTGGATCCTTCACGGTCAAGCAATACATGCCTCGCAATCAAGAATGTCTATAGGTCCCTCCACAGAAATGGAATGTTTTCTACATCCACTGGAAGCTCAATCTCGCACAGAAGGCGTGACAATATGTACAGACGGCAATAATTGAGGACAATTTTCAGGCCAATAACATTTTGGTTTGTGTTCATTGTGGGCCTACCGGGCGAGCTTCTTAAACGTTAAAGCGCACAACCGAAAACAAATCACAACAAATCGCCGTTTTCCGCCGTCCAGGAG